CCCCCCAGGCAGCCGCCCCGCTTTCCGTCTCTCCTTGCCCGCGTCGCTGCTTAGTTGCCTCCTGTGCCGGAGCTCTGCGGCCCGCAGGGATGCGTGTGGGGAGTTCGTGAAGTAGGCCCGTTATTAGAGCGGCAAAACTGCGAAATGTCTGACTGTGCTAGCGAAGTGCAGCCTCGGGTAAAAGGTCTGGGTCGCTGTTTTCCTCTGTGTTAGCTTCTAAAAAGACAATGCGCCCTCAGTGAGTGAGACTTGTAAATGGCGCTAACTTGGGCCTCGGACCGCACAACATCTCGGTGGTGGAGTGTGCAGGTGGCTTAAGGAAACAGGCGGGTTTCCCCCTTAGCAGAAGGTGAGTGGCCTTCAGCCCTCGGCCGCGCTGCCCGGCCAGGCAGGCAGGAGTCCTTCGGCCTCTTTTTTCCCAGACGTTGGCTGAAGAGCAGGACTGCTCTCCTGTCCATATGAGGGGAGAGCGCGATGAAGATGAGGTCTTGTGTAAGTCCTCTCATGGACTTAAAGAAAGGCTTTTGTGCAGTTACTTAGTGGTGGAGTCACCAATAAGTCTTCTATAAGGACCTTATTTAGCTTTGCTATTCTTAGATTTCTTTCAGAAATCGTTGTAGCTAGCTAATATGTATGCATTAGTTATTCATAATTAAGATATATGATGAACTTGATGCTTTTCCGAACACTTCTGTAATTACAAAGTTGTAATAGAAAGGATCAAGCATCTTGTAAGTTAGCTTTTTATATATAGACAGTTTATATATGATACTTATTCTTGATACTTATTCTTCTCATCAAATATATTATGTGATGAACCTAAATCTCATTTAGTTTTATTAGTGCTGCTGATTATAACAAAGTGTCACATTGCAGAACAAAGTTTGTAACCTATTCAGAATTTACGTGAGCACTCCCATTTTACAAAAATAAATAAAAATACAAAGGCACCTTTCTGTCCAGACACACAGAAGAATAGCAGTGATCCCTTTCCATTTATTTAGGCCCTCCAGATGAAGAGCCTGAAGTCTGAACAAATGTTTTGGAATGATTGTTGAAACACCACAGGTACAACAGGAAATCCCTGCCTTTTACAAGGAACACTAACAATATGAGGAGAAAGAGGATGATGGTTATCTTTAAAAAATATATTACCTTTTGGACCAAGGTAACCTATTTAATATATAAATTGTGTTTTGCTATCTAGAGAAACTTGGCAAATCTTTTACAAAAAGAGGAAAAGTTTGGCAACTCAAAACCGATCTGATATGCCTGTGTAATCTTCATGATTTCATGAAGTCCTCAAAAATCAGTGCTTTGCCATGTAGATGCTTAAAGAAAAAAAAGTGACTGATGAGCCAGAATACAGCATTGGAATCTGCTGGGTTTAACAAGTAATAAATCAGTGTAGGTCCTTTATGAATAAGTAGCAGTGTAGTTAGCAGCAGGATGTGCCATATCAGTAATTCTTTAAATACTGCCACAAAACACCAAGGAATTAATCATGTGGTTTAGTGCTCATCTGAAATAACGGAATTTATTATCCAGGCAGTTATGCATTTCACTTGTTGAGGCAAAAAGCTTGGTGTTCTTTGCTGACAATACAATTAAAACTTCTTCTAAATCGAGAACCACAGAAATAATTTGTACTGGCAGAAAGATGCTTTGTGTGATAAAATTGCATCAAAGTAGAAATTTAATTACTCTGATTAGAGGTAAGACTTTTTGGTCCTTGTGCTAGAGGTTAAAATAAATACCCTACTAGAATTTCA